AAATTTTTTGGATTCTCATAAGGTCCTTTAGATGAATTTCTATTTCTCCAGAAATGTGGACCATTTTGTGAAAAATTATGGGAAGAATTGGGGAGGAATTTTGAACTGAAAATTTTATATAATTTTCCTACATGTCTCTTCTATATCTCATAAAAGTTTCATGGGAATTTCTCATGTGGACCTTCTGTTATAAAATTCACACGATCATTATCCCTAGAGATACATTTTCAGGATTTCCAAAATTTCAAGATTTTTCATTTCTATGATCTTATTTGCTCCCAAAAAATTTTCTTTAGCACTTTTCAAGCATTAATTCATGGAATTAGTGTCCTAGGACATATTTGACATACATTGAGGATAATGCATGGTTTAAGCATGGGGGGAGATCATAAAAATTAGTTTTCTTTTTGTTTTGTTTTGAAAAAAAAAATTGGAGAATAATAAAAATTCTATTTTGATTTGTCTTAGGAAATTAAAAATTTTGCTTTAGATTTTGGAATATGAACTTTTGAGATGATGTTGCCCTAATTTTTGTACTTTATGAAGCAAGTTTTCTATTAGAGTGTGTGCATTTGATTAGAAAAGCAAAGTTAGCCAACATGGAAGGAGCCTTCAACTAATGAGAGTTATGTCTTTAGTATTTGCACCCTCTAGAACTTGTCTTTCCTCTTAATCAAGGCTACATTAGTGCATTTGTTATAGGGAAGATGATTTTGGCATTCACATAAAAAGCATATGGACTTTTAGCTAACCTTAATGCGATTGATTATTGCAACCCTCCCCTCTATCTACTAGGTACAGGAGAAGATTAACTAAATCACCACGGTACTTAAATACATTGTTTGAAAAGCTTAGGCCTAAAACTCATTTTGTAAAATCATCAAAATCATAATATTTTCAAAGCATACATAGCAGAAACAAGTTGTAAGCACTCACATCAATTTATGCATGCATCACAAAGTACAAAATTAGGTCAAGTTATGGGTAACACACCGCGATAGACAACACCTTCGTCGGGCCACACAAGTTCAAATGTTTCATTGTCATTTAATAGGAAAAATGAAGAACTTCCGGCGTGCGTTGTTTTCACATATGATGTCCAACCGGATTGATTCAAGCGCCCACACGTAGCTTATCTCATAAGCTAACTAATGAGATAGGTTTGAATATGATCTAATGATCTGATCAAAATTTAGATACTCGGGTGTAAAAAGTCACTTTTTTATAAAAAAAATTTTGCACCTAAGCGCTCAAATTAATCCCATTGTCTCATTAGACCATTTCAAGCCTTAAACCAAGTCCAAAAGGACCTATTACACCTAATTTACCACATTTCATCACATATATGCACATATATATAAATTTGACTATTCAACAATCAATTTTCATATTTCACAAAATTTCACCACTTAGCATAAACTGACCCACTTGGTTATTTTCACTACAAATCACATCTATTTATAATCTGTTGGAACATCTTTATCTTTTTAGTTAGATGTGCACCTTCTTGAATTTGATGTTTCAATTTAGTGTTGGATTCAGCATCGTGGCATTTAATCTTAGCTATTTGCTTTTCAAATTTTGTACCAAAACTTTCATCCTCAACAATCTATCATGCATATTTAGTCCCATGATGTGCTTCATAGCAGCACCATTGGTCATATGCATACTACTATTGGTGTCGTTCTTCAATTATTTTCCTATGGTAGCCTTCGTGACATTGTTAATGCCAAACACATAGAGGTAGGGTGCCATAACAATTTTGGCACTGCCTGTATGGGCATTCATGGTAATATCCCATATAAAATCATGAATATATGAATTGAAAAATATCCTTCAATTATTTTGATATGATGATATGTGGTTTTAGGAAAGCTTGGGTTACTTTATGGATCTCCACTAGAAAAGTAACCTATGGAAAGGAGGTGGAATCAGATTTGGTATCAAATTCATGTAAAATAGGAAGGGAGAGGGGGAAGAAAGAGAAGAGAAAGGGGAAGAAAGAGAAAGAAAGAGGAGAAAGGTGAAAACTCTAAAAATTCTATTCAATATTATTCAAAACTGTAAATAAATGAAAACCCTATCTCTTTTTTCAGAGTTCTAAAATGATAAAATAATAATAAAATAATGAATCTAAATCTAAATCTTGAATCTAATTTAAAAAGATACTGATAGGATGATAATATCTTATTTTATTAAGCATAAATAAATCTAAGAGAAATGATAAAATAAAATAATAAATTTTAATTCTAATGGACAAATAATCCTTATTTCAATATATCTAATAGATAATCCTAATATCCTAAATAAATTCTAATTATATTAATTAACCATTATCCCAAATTTTATCATTATATCTCAAACTTATTTTTTTAAATAAAAATTTAATCTTTGACTTTAAAAGAAAATCACAGAAATATATTAAGAACAAAAAAATGAATATTTCAATAATTGATAAAATTTAATTTTTTTAAAATAACTTTGAAGTATTAGTTTTAAAATATCAACTCACAATCTAAAAGTATTGGATATGTTATTAAAAATTAAAATTTTTTAAAATTAAAAAATAATATTTTAATATTTTATAAATATATATCAAAAAAGTATTGATAAGTATGGATATCGTACATGGACGATTTGAAATATACGTGCTTCATCTGCTTGTTGATAATCAGTGGGCCCTACAAAGATCAATTTACTTTCCCTTTCATGCACGCTCTTTTATATTGGATTATTGGCCCTTCGGTTTAAATGTATAAATACATGCTAACAAATTAGTTCAGCCATTGCCAGTCTGAAACGGTAAAGTAATTATTTAAAAGTAAATTATTTCTTTTTTGAATAATTTATATCGGGAGTACGGTGTATGAAATTGACGAGAATAAGATCTCGAAATTTGGGCTCCTTGCAAGTATCAAAATAGGAAATAAACACTTTTGTGTCAATGGCAATGGCATCATGGTGGTTTTGAGCGAACACCAAGGCCATATTAACTCATGAACGCAAGATTTTCCCCGCAATAGTCTTGAGAGTTTTGAAAACCGTCGTCCCCAAACCCCTTCTCTTCCATTCTGAGGCGGCCGAGTCCCCCCCCCCCCCACCCCAACAATCCCCCCCCCGAACAATTTGATTGGCCCTTAAAAAAGTTTTAAATTTTTTTTATTTTACTTTTAAAAAAAGTGAAAGTTAATATTAGCCTTCCATATTTTAAACATTTTTCATTTCTGCCCTCCCATATGTTCTTTTTTGGATTCGTGCTTGCTTAGGGTGCGAATCCTCCCCATTTCGCGCACCTTGAAGAGAAATCAGTAATAAGTATTCACTCTGATTAAAAATTGAGTTTCATCTTAATAAAGTAGTTATCTATTTTTAAATTAATTTTATCTTTTTAAATTTACTCCTATTAAATACCTTATAATAAATATAAAGTCATTCATTAATATGGGCACTTTTAAAAAAACGATGATTATACATCAAAAAACTACAAAAGCCTTATATTTTTTAATAGAGAGAGTAAGTACTTGCTTTCCTTTCCCACTAGAACCATGTTGCTAGCTTTTGAACTGATTCAGAGACTTGTTAGCCATTTGTAGAACTTGGCTAAATGACTATGATTTGAACTTTAATTCAAAGAACCAGCAAATTCTTAACCGCAGTATCTTTAAAAAAGCTGAATTTTTATTTTACAGATAATCCTTTGAGTATGACAACGAGAATCCTGCTGGTAATCCCAGTTTCTTCAATCCTGGGAATTACGATCAGAATAGTAGCACTAGTTTGTTAAGATTTTTATATTTTAATATTCAAAATTGGTGGGTGATAAAAAATCTAGGTGATACGAGAGACAAACAAGCCATTAGTGAGAGTGGATGAAGGGGATCCATTAGCACGTGTCAAACAGTCACGTGAGCCGTTTGCACTTTCCACATTCACATACGGAAACGATGACGTCGCTTCCCCACCTCCTTCCTTCTTGGAAATTCTACGTTTGTCTTCAGTTCCGTCTATGTTCGGTGCTCAGCAACATCAACCACAAAAACTTAGGATCATCGAAATTAATTTTTTTAATCTTAATTATATATTTACTAAAATAAAAATTTATAAATTTTGTTGATAAATTTGTTCATCATTAATTTGGATAATACTTATCTAACTTGGATGGTCCAATGCAATATTATATTATAATTTTTATAAATTGACTATTTACATGTATTCTAGACAATATAAATTTAATATTAAATTTTTATTTGCAAGGTCCATATTAAAATTTTTATTTTTTTATTTTAATAAATACAATATTTAAAAATAAAATATATAAACTTTTAAATAGAACTTTTAAAAAATATTTTTTAAAAAATAACAAATTAAAAATTAAAAATTTGTATTATAAAGAATACATCTGTATAGTTAATATGTAAAAATATAAAAAATTTAATATTAAATTGAGCCTTTTAAATTAAATATAGATCAGATTAGCCATGAAAGGATTTATTAAAATTTTTCTTTATAATTTTTATAAATTTTTATTTTAAAAACTATAAAATAAAATTATTAAATTAATTCTTTAAATTTGGCTCATCGAGATTGAAAATCTAAATCGCCCAAATTGTACCATGATGAGCAAGGTGATAAGCGCCGAAGATAGATCCGCTTGGGCTCCTCATTTTCTTCGTAAATGTCCTCTTAACCTTCACTCTCACTCTTATCTGATACTTTATTGATACTGATACAGGCTAGTTATGTCTTTATAAATAGTTAGCAGGGACTATTTTGTATTTTCACTGGTGTTGCCCTAGACTACCCTTTCCCCTCCTGTTTCCATTCTGCGACGCATCGGTCTCCAATTTGCGACGCATCATTATGACACACAAGGCGCGTTCATTCTCTTAACCTTCCCCCTCACGCTTATCACACACAACAATCAATATCCATTCTTCATTCTCTCTCCCTCTCCCCCTAACCAATTCTTCTCGCAAGCAGTAGCGCCGGTGGTTGTGACGATGACGACGACGACGACGACATCAGATGTCTGTAATGTGGCGGTAGGATTGAAGCCGATGTTGTTAATGGTGATGATAGCGCTCGCGGCTGTTAATGTGCTCTACAAGCTCGCCGTCAATGACGGCATGAACCTAAGAGTTTTGGTTGCCTATCGCTTTCTCTTCACCGCCGTTTTCATGGCTCCCCTTGCTCTTGTTCTGGAATGGTCGGTTTCGTCTTATATCTAACAATAGTTTCAATGAATATTTATTTGTGCCTTGTTTTTCATTAAATAATGATGAAAGGTAAACCAATTGCAGGAACAAGAGACCAACGATGACTTGGAAGATACTGTTTCAAGCCTTTCTTTGTGGTTTATTTGGGTAAATATATCAAATTTGGGTGCGTTTCTGCTTTTCTGTTCATATTGGAATAACTAGCTAGTTTAAATATAATATGTTCATTTGGCATATTATATGGGAGAAATATAATTTTTATCAGATGTATAAAATACCAAAAAATTATAAAATGATTCTTTTACTTTTAATCACCAAAAGAAAAAACCTCCCCGCATAAAATTATACTTCTAAAAGCATCTAATTGTTAATTTTCTTATTAACTCTTTATATAGTTAACTAATAAATAAATAAAAAGTTCATACGTATCCTAAATATATCTTCCAATTGAACCAATGGGAAACCAAATAGGAATAGTTCATAATAACTTGACAAAGAATGATATCAAAGGCTATGTAATGGCACTACTAAAATATGAAGGAGTTATTTAATAGACAGCCCTAAATTTGGCAAAGCCCTTTGTCTTCAACACATAGTATAGAAAAATAAATAGTAGGGAAGAAAAGAAAATAGACTCAATATAGTACCAATGCGCATAAGCTTGTAATGTTCTAATTGGATTCAGTCCAAGTCTAAACTCATGAGCTAGCTAGCAACTAGTCTATATTCACAAAAAGAGAAAATCAGATAAAGCACATATGTATATGTATATGTATATGTGGATGTATATGTATATATAGTTTCCCTAAAAATGATTGTTTTATGTAATTCGACCCTTATTTAAATGGTTCAGGATTGGACCTTTAAACCCTTGCCGTTAACAAAAATTAAACTTAACCGTTAATTGACTATAAAAAATCTCAAAAATTATAGAAAATGATTCAAATTAAGTTTACAAAAAAAGATCAATAAAATTTTGGTCTTGTTCTATCACGCCCCAAAATAGGGGGTGACCGGCATAGGATGTGAATCACATCATACATATCGTAAGCCATAAAGTCAAGGTTTATTTTATTTAATTAAAATGTACTCAGTTATTCACTAACATTTTAATACTATTGATACTAATCATTATAATAATTATTTTAATATTTTGTAAAAATTTTGACAGAACCTCCTCTATAAATAGTATCTCTCAAAAATTTTGTATCACCAAAATTTTCCTTAAACATTATATCAATCAAGAGCTCGACTCCTTCCACCAGCAGACAAAATGTATAATAAACTAAGGATTCTAATTATAAGTTATTTGGAGCACCTAATCATATATCTCATGACATAACACATAAATTTCATATTTACATCCATAAGGCATATTTACAGAACAAGCCTTCATTCTATTCTGCAAACATCCATCATTGGTAAGTAAGACGTATAGTGTCAATTATGCTATCTGAGACCAAAATAATTTTTCAATGAATAACGTCCCAACAATAAATAATTTAACATGAATAAATAGAAAAGTTTAAAATAATCATATAAGTTAAAGAAACAATAATTTTCATAAAAAAATGTATAAACTTCAGAATAAAATGGTTCTATAAAATTTTGAATAAAATCTTAAACCATTGAACTATTATAGCAAATATTAATATCACTTGATTTTAAGAAGTTACATAAATGAAATAAAGACTTGTAAATAAATTACTAAATAAAAACTAATGGAGTATAAATCATCAAATAATTGGATTCTTAATTATAGAAACTTATTAGAATAATTAACAAACGTGGGCACACAGTCCATGAGAATAAATAACCAAATGTGGCTTGTACTATGAAGACAAACGTGGACACACAGTCCATAAGAGTAAGTAAGCAAACGCAGTCAAAGCCACGAAACAAATGTGAATTCATAGTCCACATGCTAACCAAACGGGGCTCAAAGCCACGAAATCAAATGTGAGTACAATGCTCATGAATAACCATCCCTCTGTTCCATGTGCGTTGGCATCATACGGGGCTAGCATCTCCTATAAGCACTTTGCTAACTAGGTGAACCATGGCGCGCTAAGGGATAGCGGAACTGCCGTTAGCAACTAGTGTTCTGTACAAAGTTCCCTTCAAATCCATTTTATAACATGCAAGAAAATCATCACTTTCATAATAAAATTTTCATTTTCAAAGTCAAACTTGCATGAATCATTCTCTGTATCAATTCAATGTTTGATAGAATAAAATCTCATAATCAAAGTCAAAACTTATATTTATTAATTAATTAAAATTTCAAAACTAATAAAGGTAATTTCACAAAATAAAGAAGTTTAATAAACAAACTATTCAATAACCACATCATCGTTACTAAAACAATTTTGCAAACAAATGTACTATTATAATAAAGGAAATCTTTATTGAAAAATCAATCGGGACGCTATCTACTTACCTATAATATGCCCAAGTATCATAATTCATTTCTTAAAACTTCAATCAACTCTTCCTTCCTCTTAGCATTCTCTTCAATATAATGAAAGATTTAATGGCCTTACTTTAGTTAAATAAGTTATTTTCCAATATTGAAAACACTAGTAAATTGGTTTCAAATCATTATAATTTAATCAACCAAGTCTTAATTTCTTCCATCCTTTTAATACTTTACGTGCCTACTTCCCCATCCAACAAATTGCTTATACTTTAATTTGTTTTCCCAACCATTCTTTGAATTATGTAACTAAACATTAATCAGGGTGCGTATAAACATATCTACACACACACACACCCCCACATTTACTCTCTCAAGTCATCGAACATCTTTCATGCATTATAAGATTAAATAATTAAACAACAGTAATGTTTGTAAGTATCAACCATATGACTCTCAAGAGCTTAGCTAATCAATTCTTCCTTAAATCTCAAGTTAATGCATCAATAACCTATACCAAGTATGCTTATAAAAAAATTAGTGAAAATTTAGAAAAATACATATTCAAGTAGACTCCACCTAATAGACATTTCATCTAACAACTTGTAAACATCAAATCTTAACCTATAATTCCAAACTAATTTCTTATCAAATATCATTCTAACATTTTCTATGTTAATTTCAAGTTTATCAAACTTCTAGAAATAAGAATTTTAACAATAATTAGTTCAAATATGAAAAGGTTACCCACCTTGCCACTTACAATAATCAAAGGGCTTAAAGCATAGTTTCCTATTGAAAATTAAAGTTTCAACTGGATCACACTCCACCTATTCTCCTCTGCCACGCTCAGGAGCAAGAAATAACTAATTGCAACCCCAATCAAACAATACACACGCACACACAATTGGCGAAGGAAAAGAACTGAATCTCCTACCTTGAACCTACGATGTGAGCAGAGAAGGAGGAGAAAGAACCTACGACACTGCACATTGAAGGGGGAGAAGAACATTTGATGCATCCTTTCACAGCATTGAAAACAGAGGAGGAAGAACTGAAATTCAAAGCCCACACGCACACCAAACAACGTCACAACAAGAAAGTGGGAAGCGATTGACATCGCACCTGGGAGAACTCACAGCCAAACTCCTCACAGCGACGGACAAAGCTTCTAGACTCATCAACAATGACGACAGATGGGAATATATAAAGAAGACGGAGAAGATGGACGGAGAAGATAGAGAAGCTTGACATTTCTAGATCCAGGATTTCTCTCCCTCTCTCCCCTCGTGCTTTGTTCTTGACCGACAAAGGAAAGGAAATTTAAAGAGATGAAGTTTATTAGAAAAATTACAAGAAACCCAATGGATATTTTCTAAAATCGCACAAGAGGTAAGGGCATTTTGGTAACTTCGTTCAATGCCAACAAAAAATGAAATTTCCTTTAATATAGGTAAGATTCGAACCCCACACCTCCAAATAACAACTGACATAGTTTCCACTGAACCATTACTCCCTATTTATTATATAACTAAAACAATAAAATAAAATATCAATTGAAAAAAAAAATTTAATTTATTTATCATTTCATTTATCTTTTTTTTTAAAACTTTTTTTAGGGCTATTACATGTTCTGTAATTTTGATTTTATTTACTATTATTTTTTATTAGTTAACAGTCAAAATTAATTTTTCTTAACACAGGAGTGTATGACTTACTCATTAATTTCTTTTTTAAAAATATTCTTACAATTTCTTACCTTGGAATTTCCAAACTCAAAATATAATTGCGAATATGTTGGCAAAAAAAATCTAATTGCAAATATAATGGTAAACAATTACTAGTTTGAATCTATATATATATATATATATGTATCGTATTTATCTACTAAAAGAAGTTATTCTTTCCTCAACAATGGTTTGCTTTTTTTCTTTTATAAGTTTTTTTTCTCTAGACATGGTTTGTTTAATATTATTCTGTGACAAATAAATTAAATAAAGTAACTAATATTATGATGATATATAAATTGTTATATACGTGGAGGATCATTGTCGCAAAACTTATACATGGAAGCACTGGCTTTAACATCAGCAACATTTGCTACAGCGATGGCCAACCTTGTTCCAGCCATCACCTTTATAATGGCTGTTTGTTTTCGGTGAGTGTCCTTGCGTTTAGAACTTTCTTTCTTCTTTTTTTATTTTAGCACAATTTCTTATATTTTTTAGTCCTATCCTTCATTTCTCATTGTTCTTTTCTCACAAATATATAACTTTGATTAATTAGGTTTAAACATTGAGCACCTTTCCGATTTCATGCCCACATAAATTTCCTTCTTTTATGGTTCTTTGTGTGAACCTTTTTCTTTTTTCCTCCAACCAACTTTCCTGCAATTTGAGGAAATGCAATTCTTGGTTACTAAATGTTTAATTCATTATCAATTCAATCCCTGAACTTTGCAAAACAATTTAATCCTTACAGTTTCTTAACTCAAAACAATAATTTTTTTTATTCACTACAACTCATTCTCTATATTTCTTTAAATCAATAAACTAGAGGAGCTAAATCAATAATTGAGCGAATGTTTAAAGAGTAAATTAAATTTCTACACAATACTATCACCACAAATTAGCGTATGAAAATTACAAATCATGACTTATATTATAATGACTTATTTATGGAATTATGATGAATAGCTTGGAAAGTCTGGGTTTACGAACAGCATCAAGAAAAGCCAAGATTGTTGGAACAATGATAGGAATAAGTAGGGCTATGATTCTAACATTTTTCAAAGGTTTAGAAATACACACATGCTCCTTCCACGCCACACTCATGCATCATCATAATGGACATGAGGTATCACTGCAGTCTTCCTTTAATAGTAACACACTCTTAGGTGGTCTTTGCACTCTAGGAAGCCACTCTAGAACTACTACAGAATACCCCCTTATTTGACAGTTATTTTAGAAATTATTTGATAGTTTTTAACCGTCAAGTAATGAGACGCCATATATTTATTTGACAGTTAAAAATTGTCAAATATTTTAGAGATTACTTGATGGTTTAAATAATCGTCAAGTAATCACTTAAATATTACCGTATACCACAGCAATATACTTGACGATTATTATGAAGTAACTGTCAAGTATTTAGTAATATTTGACGGTTATTTCGAGACAATCATCAAATATATTTTCACAAATTCTGTGTGCCAAATACTTGATAACTGTCAAATAAGTATGCATACTTGACGATTATTTTGAAATAACCATCAAGTAAAGTTGTAGTTGACATTTCTTTCTAAATAATCGTCAAGTATTTATGATGGGTTTTTTTTTTTAAAATTTGGGGGCTCCTTTTCAAGTAGCCCCCTACAAATATAAAGCAATTAAATATATATACTAGCCAGCTAACAATAAAAAACAATTGAATCATTATTTATATTAAAATTACAATCCAAATATCTTTAATTTCCCATATCTACCAATACCCTAAACCCGATGCCATAAAAAATCTATAACTTTGCCTACTTTACAAGTTAAAATTCAAAATTAATTGGCCTCAAACATAAAATTGACCAAAAATAAATGTGTATACCAAAACTAATTGGGCCTAACCACTGCTGCTATTCACTTGCTAAACACGACCTGAGCTACCTCTTCAATGGTTTCCTCTATATGTGCAGCTGCATGCCTTAATTATACTCAATCAAGTTACCCAACAACAATTGATATAAAAATTTTATCCCAAAAATTCAACAGCATAATAGCTTAAAAAAAAGAGTTTTTCAAGTTTTGAACCCTCTTTTTATTCAAAAATTCTATCATTCACAAGTTCTCATATAATACTTATACCCAATCAAATTATCCATAGTAACAATTAATATAAAAATTTTATCCTATAAGTTCAATATAAGTCAATCATATCTAATTAAGTTATCCAACAACAAAATTAATCACCATCACCACAACAAGGGAAGCAAATTTTTAACAAATTCATATAATACCCAACAGTAAATTAATTTTCATATAATCTTAAATTTAATTTTGTAACTAACAAAGAATGAAAAACCAAAGCCTATATACATTCAATCACAAATCATAGTTCTAATGAACAAAAAATTCATATTCCAATTATTAATTCCAATCAACTCCCTAATTACAATTAATTGACAACAATACCACAAGGAAGAAGAATAGGCCAACTTACTTAAGAGAGGCAGAGCACGAGGATGAAGAAGAAAAGCAGGGGAAGGAGGAAAGAAGACAACTCGCATTTTGCACTGTTGAAAAGCAAGTAGGGGAATTTGAAGTCAGATTTACCCTAAATACTAAACTCAAAAATGAATTAAACAGATGAAGGAGAAATTAAACTTACATATGAAAAATAGAGAACAAACCCAAAATGACCGAAATGAAGACTTCGATGAATGAACAACACACAAACCCCAAAAAATGGAACCCATGAGCAAAACCCATGAAGAATCGAGTCCAAATTTGTGTTCTTGGGCTGTTTTGGTGACAGAAAATGATTTTCAAGCACTCTGGGTGTGTTTTCAAAAATGTTCGAGTTGCAAAAATGTGAAAATGAAAGGTTCTAGAGCGTAAATTTAAAAGGCAATACTCGATGGTTATTTCCTAATAACCGTCAAGTATTCCTTACTTGACACTTGTTATTAAATAGCCGTCAAATAAAATGCAGCCATACTTGACGGTTATTAATAAACAAGCATTAAGTAATTGTTATTTTTTTATTTTTTCATTTAAATCATATATTTGATGCTTGTTTACAAATAACCATCAAGTATACCAAAATATACTTGGCGGTTATTAGCAAACAAGTGTCAAATATATTTATGAAAAATTCAAATATGGGATGCAGATATATTTGACGGTTACGTCAATATAACCATCAAATATGTACTAAATACTTGACGGTTATTTTAAAACAACTGTCAAGTATTTACCGCCTTTTTTATTTGTTTTTTTACACTTATAACTGTTAAATATAAGGTGTCATATTTAGATTATTCTGTTGTAGTGTAGTTATGCTCTATGGCTTATTATTCAGGTCTGCTTTCTCAATATGTGATCATTTTACTTCTTTTACTTGTCATTTTTCATTTCATTACATATTAAACATATTTTTTCTTTGGGTTATTGCATTAATACAGACAAAGATGAGTGAAAGTTACCCATGTCATTACTCTAGCACAGCTTTGATGAGTGTGGTTGTAGGAATCATATCTATTGTTTTTGCTCTCTCTCTTGAAAGAGATATGACTCAATGGAAGTTGTGTTGGAATGTTAGGCTTCTTACTGTAGCTTACTCGGTATATATGTCATTATTGTTCATATTAATATGAGAATTTTTTTTGGATTAATCAATTTTTGTTAGTGTGGTGAATTTTAATTATAATAATGAACATAGGGAATAGTTGTGTCTGGTGTAATAGTAGTGGTGATGGCATGGTGTATGCGTATGAGAGGACTTGCTTATGTATCTGCTTTCAATCCTCTCATGCTTGTCTTTGTAGCCTTGACTGGTTATTTCATGTTAGATGAGAAGCTACATCTTGGAAGGTACATCTTTTGCTTGATTTTATAAGATTTTTCTTTTTTACATAATTTGATCCTTTTCTTTTGGCTAGCTATGTAATTTGATGTTATAATATAGGATGTTTTAAAAAATAATGATTCATTAATAAAGCTTATTCTAAAATAATGATTCTTTCTTGCCTTCACTCTAATAAAAAAAATTAGATTTCAAATTATATTGTTAATTGATTTTATTGATATTTATAATTTTAAAAAATAATTTATAAAATGAGATTGAGAGAATAAACACTTACATTTGTCCTCACTTGCAAGCTCACAAACACATGCCCACCACATATGTTTGCTTTCACAAACACTTGCTACTGCTATTTGTTCTAGTTAGTGGCACAAATGCACATTATATACAATAACTTACTTTATGATTTATGATTTTTTACCACAAATTTGCAGTTTAATTGGAGGGGTGTTGATAATATGTGTATTATATGGAGTTCTATGGGGAAAAAGTATAGAGGTGAATCAACTTGTTGCGTCTCATAGCCTTTAAGAAATTATAGCAAGATCTCCACAGAAGATGAATGTATTCCTCATAACAAAAATAATAGTAATGATATTGAAGTTGTTAGAGATAGTGAGATCTCCCATCAATCTTAAATGCAGCAGCTAGTTGAGAGGATTATTTTCGCGGCCGGTCTTTAATGTAAAACTTCAATTTACCTTATATTCCAAATTTATAACTTTTTTTTCCCAGACTATATCCCTCTATTCGATTTCGTCACATAGTAAATGGGGATTTTCATTATTATGGGTAGTTTCCAATGCAAATGATCAAATATTCAAATGGGATATTTAAGGAAAATCAACAAAAGATTTACAAATAATTTAATTTTGCATTATCAATCGCCTCGTTTTACATTATATATAATATCAAAGACTTTTACTTGATAGAATGAAATTTCTTGGGATTACCTGATTCATCATTTATATACCTTTTTATGATTTAATTTCAGAAAAAATATATTCTAATATCATAATTTATGTCTATATAATTACCAAATTAAAAACAAATTTTAAAAGCCAATAAGCTACTTTAAAATAATATATATATACACATAATTGTTAACTTCAACCATGATAACCTTTTTAACAAACCTGTATTTTTTTATATTAATAAAATTGACTCTTTTTTGGCAAAAAATAAAAACCTATATTTTGTCCCTTTTATTTTCTTCCTTCAATTAGCTTTGGGCTTCCTGCAATTGCAGACAATATTCATCTTAGAGAGTCATATGGGCCAATTTATTTCTGCTGCATGATTTTTACTCCCTAAAGTTTTGATGGTGAAGCCCATGAATAGAATAGATTAAACAAGGATACTTTGCTTAGAGAGTATTGATTAAGCATTTTTAAACTAGTTATAGAACCCATCATAACATAAATTCATAATTTATTGGTCAGATTATGGTTGAACTAGTTCTAAATATATTTTTATTTATTTTTAATTTTATATATTAAAATAATATTATAAAAATCAACAATAATAGATCCCATAAGCATAGTATTTAAATTTTGAGAAGTCAAGTCATGGGCTTCATAGTATTTAAATTTGTATCCAATGATTAGAGAAGTTGGAGAGAGTAATTAAGTCACATGTAGAGTAGTAAAGTTTAATTAGAAGAAATTAACAAGTGTTGGGCCTAATAGAAGGAGCTATAGTTTCCTAAACATGATGTTTCGGATTCAAGTTCATGTGAATATGGAAACATCTTTGAGATGGCTACAATCAATTGAACTTGACAATATTAGAATTAAACTTAGATAGGAAACCATTTAAAAAATAGCTCAAAAGAATAAGGAAGATGAGATAAATTGAGGGAGGAATAAGTAATAACTAATTAATATATAGAGAAGCAAGGCTAGCGTAGAAACTTAGCCCTTAGCCCTTTCATTTTTTTGTATTATACATCATGGAGAGATTGGGTCAACTCATCAAACATCATTGTGAGATACAGCTTTGGAACCCTTGAAGATTACTACTTCAAGGCCATTTTTATCTCACCTCTTTTTCGCTAATGACCTTTTCCTTTTTCTCTTCTCAAGCCTCAATTGAGAACATGATGATTATTAGAGACAATGAGAGGTAATATATGCTTCGTTGGACTCGCTAGCTATTTTTGTCCTAACTTGAAGAGAGCCTTGACATTGATCTCCATTCTTAGTTCAGGCTTGCATGTTAAGCACTCCAAATTTAGATGAATAATGGTCACTTTCAGATATAACTTTGATTTCTCAAGATGGCCTTTATTTTTGCTGCATTTCAGTATATAGATGATGTGTTGCCTTGTGATAGATGGTCTTTGATGGAAGTGCAATGTCAGGACTACAGAGGAATACCAAGAGTGCTTGAATCTCTAATTTTAGTCCTCGAGCTTCATTTGTAGCACTCTTTTATCAACAGGGAACATATTCAACATTTCCTTTTCATTTTATTTTGGGGAATAGTCCATATAAAATAAAATCTGATGACATGTAACTTGAACAACTTTATGCAACGATGCAACCCCAAACTAATTATGTATTAACCTATACATATAATATAAATATTATATATATAATTATTATTAAATATTTTTTATAAGTTTGATTAATCTTTTTTCTTAATTAAAAAATAAATTACATTTCAATTCTAGTAGAAGTAATATTTAAAGGTAAAAATAAAGTACAAAAACATTTTATATATTTAGAAATTACTTAACTATTAATATTAATTAGTATCTTTGATGAAAAATTACTATTATTTAATTTTATTATTTTTAAATTTACTCTCAAAAGTGGGCTTTGATATTATTTTAGAGTAGCAATATTTAAAAAAGTCATCAAACACAAATTTATTGTATCTCTAATGTGGCTTTTAATTCTTGTGTTCACTACATATATGTACATCTATGGTGAAATTTAGTTTTTGTAGTGCGCGCGCGGCACACACTCACATATATATTAGTGATCTAGAGTATATTCTATAGAAGTAAAAATCAAGTAACTGACGAAGAATGTATTTGACATGTTTAAAAATAAAGGATTAAATTATATCTTGTGATGATGCATGTGTATTAAATGCATATTAGAAATTTTCTTTTGCCAAATTCAATATTGAATTAAACATTTGTTTAATAGAAGTGGTAACAAACTTAAAACAGCACGGCTAACTACATGAAGCATTTTCTGTGTAGACTTTATCTAGTCTCAAAAGAGATTTAAAAAGAAATACCACACGCCTAAGTTTAAAAGAAAATTATCTTCATTCTGCAATCAAAATCAACTTAGGAAAATTCAAAGTTCCCTAATTCACCTCCATTTCCATCCCAAGATTTCTCTACAATATTTTAGCCATGGCAACTTACTCCATTGGGTTATGACTTCCTCTTAGGCTTTATATAAAACACCTTGCATGCATCACTTCCAAACTATTTAATAAGGCTTTCTTTTTTTTTTTAATTCAATCCTTCTCTTACCCAACAAATGTCTAAGCATCTATTATTAAATTCATCATACACTCACAAAAATCTCTAATTCCAATTCCAACTTTCCTCCAGGAGAACAATTACCTACCATATAATTTAATTATCAATATTGTTACAACAAAAATATCTTCTATCAAGCATTTAACCGAATACGTTAGTTGCTGACCATTAATTTATGTAATTTATGCTTAGCAATGTTCGCTCGGCTTATCATCTAATTCAAGATTCCATACTCACAATCACAAGCTGTTTCACTCAATTTATTGCCATTACTTCCACCGTTTTCTCTTTTATCCAAGAAACAAGTCACGTGGTCAGCACTTTGGGAGATTTAATCACACTTCATTTGGGATCACGATAGTTTCTGCCTCACACACATCATATACGCACGTTAAAAGGAAGGGGAGCGATACTCAATCCAAAATTTCATCAAACCACAGCAACACCTAGCACCAAAACATAACAAAGGAAGAAAGTTCCACCCACACCAAGAAAGCGACGTGAACAAGGGAAAGAATTTTGGCAAGGCCAATGATGCTCTGCATACGAGAAGCAGAGCTGGAAGAAGAGGACACTTCTGTGCAAACAAGGAGGTGGAAGCAGAAGAAGATTCTCACGCACACAGAGCAACCGCACAGAACAAGGTCAAAGAGAACAACAGCGGAGTAAGGGAGAAGGAGAAATCGTGATCTGGACCTCTAGCATGGCAACGAACGGCAGACTCAGCCACCCACGCTGGTGACAAGCTCTAAACGAAGGAGGTGGAGGACGAAGAGTTTGAAATTTCTCCCTTCTCTCTTCTGGTGTATATTGTGAAAAAGAAGAGGAGGAAGGGAGAAAGCTATTTGATGGTGAATGAGGGCACAAAGGTAATTTCATCATGAAGCCATGATAATAATAAAAAAATATCCTTCTCTTGGAAAGATTTGAACTTGGGTCCTAAGTAACTTCATCCATAATCATTTCCATTAAGCCACCAATTCATTCTTGGTAAGCTATACCTGAACTTTATAAAAATACAATCAAAATACTTTATCATTAATTTTAATCTTTTTTATTGTTGTTAATTTTAATCTTATTTAAATTCTTGGGTTGCTACATATTAATTTAAATGTAAGTCAATTTTTTTTCTGGGTCATTACAAGCACTTACTGATATTTACTTTTTTATTTTATTTTAAACTAGTGTATTTTATTCATTTTATCAAGATTCATTAGTATTAGAAAAGTCTCAAGATATTTGAGAAGAATTATGGCATTTCACGAGTGATAGGTAGTATCGCTTGCCTTCAAAATTAAACTAAAGCTAACCCTAATGTAATATAGGGCTAACCCTAGGTCATCTCTCAAGGAATGATTTTAAGCCTAATTTAAAGTTATCTAGTGAAATAAATCACCCAAAGTTTGAAGTTGATTAACTAATTGCTAGCCTAATTATCTAGTGAATTAAACTAGAAAAATAATCCTAATTATAAATGAAGTCGCTTCCTAATTTAAGTAGAAACCCTAGGGTATTGCTAATAGTAGACTCCTAGCCCTTTAATTAATTATGGCAGCTCACTTAAGTCTCTTTCCTTGGCTGAAAAATATATTTACTTAAGACAACTGTCTCAAGCATCCTAGCTTCACTAATTCAATTTTCTAAGTGCCATTAGAAGCCCCCTAGTAACCTTACTGGCTTAGCTCTAAAATTAACTAAGTGTTTAGTTAAAATTTATTCCTATATATCACTTTCCAAAGTTGTACCTAAGCTCAAAACTATAAAAACTCAAGTAACTCATCAAGTATTCACCACACAATTACATACTGAGCTAATACAAGATATTTTCCAAGTGAAATCACATATTACCATGTAAAAACACTAAGAGGACGAAATTTCAACAGCATTAAGAACTTGAAATTCAAGTAAACAATCTTGTTTCAATATTACAAATTACAAACAACTATGAAACTAAAGTCAAATTGAACCACAATTAACAATAGTCATAGTATTCTAATGAAATTGAAACAAGATGAAGAAATAGTTAAGCTTAGCTAGGTGAAGATTTCAAGACTTCTCTTCCATCAACTCTCCCCTAGGATTCCATGAAGAATCTAGCTAGAAAACATCAAGAAAATCTTGCTTCCTTTATGAACACCATGTGGCCGAGAGGTATGCTCCATAGTCTTGATGAATTGAGCTTCAATTCTTCCTCTAGATGCTTGGGGTGAGTTTGGCCATGATAAGGGAAGAGAATGGTGGAAGATTTGTGTCACACCCCAATACTAAGGGTATGATCATCATGAAACATGATGTGAACTCACATTCCATAAGCCTTAATTATTTAGAAATTAAGCTAAATTAGTGATATATGCAAGTTATATATAATAGTAAGGTTCTTAAAGTTTTTAGAGTTTTTGTAAAAACTTTGACAGAGCTTCCCCTATAATTTGGACCACCCAAAACTTTCACAACATCTACAGAACCTGCCAATCAAACCAACAAGGAGACTAACTCCATTCTAGTAATTTTCACAATAACAAAATAAAACTTGAATCCAACTATGGTGTGTGTGGAGCACTAACTTATACTTTACAAATACAAGATTTTACCAAAAAGAGTAATCACCATATACTTCCTTTATCCAAAAAGCAAGAAGGGCCCTCAATGGTCAGTTGGAGGTGCAGGGTCAATTACAATATTTGGGACCAAAAATATACTAGTGAGTAGCGTCTCAGTCCAAATGTTTATAAAGAAAACATCTAAAGATAATAAATAACAAATTTAACTCTAAATAACTTAATGACATAATGAATTATTCAAAATTGGAAATAAATGATAATTCTTCATGGTAGTGTGATTGTGAATTTAGACAAGGCAGATAGAATCACATATGTGTGTATTAAAAATTTTATTTCTCACAAAATATAAAAACTTGCAATAAACACAGTTGGATAAAGTACTTTTAAAAAATTTTTAAAAAATGATAAGTTTAAATTTGAAAATTTAGGAGGGCTTTATCAGAACGAATAACAAGCGTGGACACATAGTCAATGAGGGTAAATAGCCAATCAAGCATGGACACATAGTCCATAAGAATAAGTAACCAATTAAGCATGACTGACAACCACAAATCGAGTGTAGGCATAAAGCCTACAAAAATTAGCGTGAATATAATGCTCATGAATACCATCCCTCTGATCCACGTGCGTTGGCCTTCGCATAGGGTTAGCACCTCTTATAAATACCCTGCTAGCTAGGTGAACCATGGCACATCAAGGGCTAACAGAATCATCATTAGTATCCAGCATTCTGAATCCATTCCTCCTCAGTAAAATAAAGCATGTATGAAGCAAGAAAAAAAATTTCAACTATTATTTTCCATCATTACTTGTCAACCATATAAATTATCAATAAAATCAACATATTTTCAGAAATAAAACAATTGTTAGAAAAATAAGATAAATAAAAATACTTTCACAATCTACAAATGATTAATAGTAAAATCTTAAACAAGGAAATTTTATAAATACTTTACTAGAAATGTATTCGAAACGCTACCCAATCACCCGAGAGTTTCTCAATAATCTTATAATTAGACTTCCTCAATTTCTCACTTACTCTAGTGATACTCCAAATTAATCACAAACCAAAATACAATAGCTTCAACCACACCTAAGCTCACAGATAACACTAAAGGAGAGAAGAAAAGCTTCATCTCTGCTGTTCAAATGAGAAGAAGGAGCAAAAAATTAGGGACCCTAAAAGAGAAAGACTTGAGCTCACCATACACATGCAATGTCCAGCAGCTAAGGAGGAAGAAAAGTGGTAGCTGAATGCACACACACTATCGTTGTTAGCCTAGAATTGAGACGAACAGAAAACGATCACCCCAACTCTCCCAACAACAGAGATGCAACAGTAAGGATCAAAGCAGACCAATGTTGAGCAACAGAATTGTAAACTAAAAAAAACTTGAGCTTATTATTCACGCACACATGAGCCTCCACCAACTAAGGAGGAAGAACAACTGAAGCTAAACACACACGCACACAAAATCATCAAACCTGAATGAAGGAGCAGGGAAAAATAGGGATGAACAAAGGATTTTAATCATTTCATGGGCTCAATAGAAGAGATGAACCAACGAGGCAAGTGCATGCCATCAATGAGAAGAAGAATAATTTTGAAGGTGAGGAGGAAGGTTTTGAAAATGATGAAAGAATGAAATCTAAGTCACTAAAGAAAAGATACCAAAATGCTCTGTTTTTACTTTCACACAAGATATAAAAACTGAAGAAAATAAGTTTTCAAAAAATTACAAGAAAAAACACGAGAAAATCACAAGAAAAAGCACAATAAAATTACAAGAAAGGGCACTACATTTTCTTATAATTTGAAAACCAAACTTTTGCTTAGAAAACTTTAGACCCTAGGTCCTTGGGGAAATTTCTAGCACAAATTCTCATAAACTATCCCTTTCTACTTGCTATTAAACTTATTTAAATAAAATATATATTAGGAGAAAAATTTTTTGTTTACTTTAAAATTTAGGGTCATTATAATTTGATTGGATTTGATGGAGAAATGGTGGAAGAATAGGGGTTGGACGTGCTAGAGTGTAGAGAGAAGGAGGAAAAAATGAATAACACCAAGAACAAGAGAGAGAAAATGTGGAAGATGAATAAGATAATGATTGAATCTGATTTTGGGGCTGAATGGTGTGCAAAATGTGGTTTGGCATCAGCTGAATATTAATTAAAAAATCAGAAAAAAAATTAAAATAGAAATGGGAGCCTTGTTATACTTGCAAGGTAGCACTCTTCTACTGGTTAGTAGATGATTCCAATGCATGCCTAATTTCTCATGTGTTATCCACATCATTTCAGCTGATTTAATCCCTCAAAATAATTAGAATTCACGTGCAAATTCTTATCCATTGACCTCAAGGAGTGTTGACCTTAATTGCCCAATTGATGCACAAGTCACATGCCACCTATGTCACATAAATCACATAATTCAATTAAATAGCATGTGATATAATAAAATTTAATTAATGTCCAGAATTAAATTAATAATTAGAAGGGATAATTTATTAAATTAACCAAGTTCTAGGTTGCACAAAATTATATAAGAATTTTCACATAAAAGCAAATTGAAAACTAGGTCAAACTAAGACACTTTAAAAAGTTTTAACTTTTTATTTAATTATTCCCAAAATAAAATAAATTTTAAAAATATAATTTTATCACTCATCAATTGGACATAAAATGCACTTTTTTAATTTTTCTTGTACATTTTCTCAAAAGTTTATTTTTAGACCAAAATACCCCTAGTGCACTGAACCTAGAAACTTAGGCAATTTTCCAAATCTAATGTAATGAGTGTACTTTGAGATGATAAAAGATTAATAAAAGGGTCCTAATTGAAAAATAAAATAGGTAATAAATGTATTCTATCAACAAGATCTCAGTTGACATTACAAGTGCGCCCAAGAGGGATAGTGAATTTGGCTTGATAAAAAATTGACAAATAATGTGTAATAAATGGAGATAAGTTAGGAACAATGTCACCAAATGTTCTAGGAGAGGTAGATAAGCTTTCATAAGAGTTTATCCTAATTCACTTCCAATCACTCAAGCCCATGTTCAGTTCCCAAGTCACACTTGAGATTTTCTCCATTTACTTTACCAAGATTAATCGATGCTTT